GATTAAGTTCTCAAGTCAAGACCCCACTGTATCATCTTTCCCCGAAAATAAGACAGGGTCCTATCTTAATTTTTGCTCCAAAAATGCATTAGGGCTTACTTTCAGGGGATGTTTTATTTTTTCATGTACAACAATCCACATTTATTCAAATACAGCCATGTCTTCTTCTTCTGGTTGCTGCACAATGGTGGAGGGCAGGGTTTCACTTAACTAGGGCTTATTTTCAGGTTAGGTCTTATTTTCGGGGAAACAGGGTAATATACTGTTCAAAGAACTGGATGGTTTGTTAGATGGTTTTGAATAATGCGATGTAAGATATATGCCAGGAGTTCTTTACTAAAATATACTGTTCAAACAAGAACTGGATGGTTTGTTAGATGGTTTTGAATAATGCGATGTAAGATATATGCCAGGAGTTCTTTACTAATTACCTGCAGATATCTAAATCTGTGCAAATCAATTTTTCATCTGATATGAGGAAGGATATTTCATGATTTCAAAGTCACATTTTAAAGTATATCGTAAATTTCTTTGCCAGAAATACTAATGCAGATTAGGTGTTTCTCTAACTACCTAACTGAACTGTTGATACTGGTCTAAAGCATGATTTACTTCTGCATTTTTGTGCTGCTTCAAAATATAAGAAAGATGAGAAGGCAGAAATCAGAAACAAATCTTATTTCAATTTAATTGTTAAAATAAACATCTTCATCTGCCGCATATACATGTGTGGTTTTGTGTATCATCATCATCATCATCATCATCATCTTAGAAATACAAAGCTTGAAGGGACTCTATGGATCACTGAGTCCAGCCCAGGTTGGGAGACACAGTTTGGAACTGCCAACCTCTGGCTTCCACACCACTGTATGATAATACAGGTAATATTGTGTGCATTTGCAAAGATCCATGTTCATTGATGGAAAGCCAAACCCAATGTTGTGTTCACTGAGTTAAAAGCATTTCCCACTTGATTTTTTTTGTCGTGCATCCCCAGTGTCCCCAGTATGTTTTCCCACTCACACCGGTTCACCTTTGGACACCACTTGTTATTTTCACCCTTTTTCGCTGCCACCAGAGGATGTTATCCTCACTGTACCAATTATGAATCTCAGACTATTGCTGCCAAATGTAACAAGGTCTATTTATGGTCTGGTAGGTAAATCACAGAAGTAGAATCATGGATGTTCTTTTATTATTCATTCAATAAATGTGGATTTGACTACATGTAAGCTTGCTTGTATTCATTCACTTTAATCAAGGTCTCAATATATTCTGACTGTCTATGTATTTCTTATTCCTTTTGTCTCTTTTATATTCTCTAACACACCAACTCTCCAATCTCTTGTCTAAACACTTCCCAAATCTTCTCTCTAACTGACTCCCTGTCTCTCTCAGTTCTCTTTACTCCGCCCCTCCTGTCTTGTCATTGGCTCCTCCACTAGAGCTCTAAAATGACTGACAGGAGTGACGTGTGGGCTGTCCGCCACAGTTTTTGATTCACCACTTTGGAAGCTAATTTCAAAGCCTGGTGCATGTTTCCCTAATGGTATCAGTTATTTAAGTCAGCCATTAAAGGCCTATAATATTACCATAATGAAGTAAAACTCCAGAGTGTGTTCAGAATGAGCTCTTCAGATAGTTTACCAACAGACTATTAAATAGATGCCTTTCTCTCTGTAGTGGGATTATGGGACAGATAAGGAAGGAACCGGCTCTTTAATGTAAATCATAATTGCAGCAAACACGTGTATCCTAATCTTGACAAACACAAAGGATTTGCCGCAGAAAAGGAGGAGGAGGAAGAGCAGATGAAGGAGACAGTGGAAGAAAAATCACAGCAACTCGTTCTGAGGTTTCCTCACAGGCCTTTAATAGAGGGAACTGACAGGAAGCGATCCAATACAGAATCTGTAGCTAGATTCTGTTGATTGGGCAATGATGGCTGAGGAAAGCGAAATAGAAACATGCCTATTTATAGGAAGAGGTGATTACAGCTATTAATTCAAGCAGTGGGAATCAAGTATTTTACAGGCATTTTGTTGCCCTGGCTATACTGAGCAAACTGGAAGGTTATTTTTAAAGCTGATTCACTCTAATGCTATCATGGTATGTATGTATGTATGTATGTATGTATGTATGTATGTATGTATGTATGTATGTATGTATGTATGTATGTATGTATGTATGTATGAATGAATGAATGAATGAATGAATGAATGAATGAATGTAAAGACTAACTATGGTTTAAAGGATTTTTCCAATTGCTCAAATGCCAGACACCTCACTCTGGGGGAAAATAAATAAAACACTTTGCTCCTTGCAAAATACTCTTTAGCACTTGCACGTTTAAAAAAGGTTTTACAAGAAATGTGCAAAGGATCTCCTAATCCCATCTATTTCCAATTACAGGCTTCAGGGTGTGTCCTGACATTTCCTGTGCCCTTTTGAGGCCATGTTGACCTGATCCTGATCCAGGCCTGTGATTATATTTATGCATTTCTAATTCTCTATGAAAAGCAGAGGGAAACCCAAAGCATTCTTATGAATGGGGAAACGGACATAGGAGGACAAAGTCAAAGTCCAAATTATATAGTCAGGTCAAAAGGGCATATGGACAGCATCAGTTTAGCACTCTGATTTTGATTTTGTCTTAAATTTGATTTGATTAAGTCAAAAACAAACTGATGAATCAATTCATCGATTCATCAGAGAAAAAATCATAAATTCATGATTTGTGATTTGTTGACTTTGACAAATCATGAATCACCATCTTTCTGATCTGTGCCGATTTCTAATGCTTCTTGTTTTTGGCTTTTAAATATTGTTTTTTTAAAATGTAAGTAAGCCACCTTGGGTTCTTTTAAGGAGAAAAGTGTGATAAAAATATTTTTAATAATAAACAAAATAAAATAATGTAAGTACACATAGTATATGGAGGATTAAGGGTGGTGGTCAATGATTATTTCAGTCCCTGCTACTGAGATGATACTGGGACTCTGGCTCCAACACACCAAAGATTGTTTTGCTTTCACAAGCATTTTGGCATACTGATATTGTCATAAATGCCCAGTTATAGCATATATGGCCATATGTCCCAGGTGTTATTCTCCCTGGAAGAGAATGCATATTTCTAAACTGACCCACTATTCTGTTCTGGAATCCAGAAGAATTTCAAAGTTATTTCTACTACGTAGTTCCTCCCTCCCTGAAGAGTGAACTTCATAAATGAAGGACCTTCAATATCATTGGTGGCTCTCTAATAAGGATGTGTAAATACAGCATTACTCACAGCCGCCTAGAGTGGTCTAATATGATCATCACATTTCTGATCCTCGTTGAAAAAGTGTATCTTAACTCATTGATACACTTCTGTTGAAAAACCCATTGCAAGACTTTTTGCTCCTGCTTTGCTGGATAGCTCAATAATTTAGGTATCTGAGGTTTGGAGTTTAGCTCGCCAGAACAGCCAACCTGTGTGGTGTTGGGAAAGCTGCACAGTTCCGGGATGCGCCCAGAAGGAGGTAAACCACTTCTGAGTACTCTCCACCTAGAAAACCCTACCATAAGTCGGAATTGACTTGACAGCACACAATTATTACTATATGAAAGCAAAAAGGTCAAAGCCTTCTTTTTTCAGCAGCAGGAAGGCTTTTAAAAACGAACTTTTTAAATTTTGCACAGGGCAAAAAGCCCTTATATTTTGCATAAAATGCTTGGGAAATAACAAATTTCCCCCCTTGCGCCTACCACTTCTGTGAGCATTTTTTAAAAGTCCTAAAATATTAAAAAAAAAATTGCAAAAACTCTAGTAATCTTTATTTGGGAAATAACAAATTTTCCCCCTTGCACCTACCACTTCTGTGAGTATTTTTAAAAAGTCCTAAAATATTAAAAAAATTGCAAAAACTCTAGTAATCTTTCCCAATCAAGACAGTATGTTTTAAAGATTTCATTTTCACCTGCATTTATCAGACAGGTATACAGCATGCCACAATCTACATACAAATACAGAGTATTTTGTTCCAAAGCAGCTAACAATAAGGCAGGTATAGCTTGACATTGTACCACAAGACCGGTATAAATCAGGTATCTATTTCACATATTAAAGCTTCTCTCTGTGCAGGAATCCATGCAGAATACATTGCTCAGGTTAGTCTTAACCTTGGTGGTTCTCTGCCTTATGAACCAGAAAAAAATCAGTGCAAGCTAAAATATTCTTGTATCTATGCCAACAATGGGGAACTATGCATTTATATCCCAAGTCTCCATACAGTTATGAGTTCCAGCACTAAAAATCACACAGAAGACTTTGTGAAATACTGTATAGGAGATTCTTACTTTCAGAAAGTCCACAAGTGGAGGGTGATGGGAATAATGGAGAAGGGTTGGCCGGCATGCATTACATATCCACAGCATCCAATTTAGGAGCTCCTGAAGAGGTCTATATAGACAACTACAGGATCATCCAGTCCATCCTCCCTGATTCCCCACCCCAATACCTTCTTCCAGAAAGGTCTTTTTGTATGGATATGAATGAGGATATCTAGTGGAAGTGTTCAGCAGCTGCAATTCTCATTTAAAGTTCAGATCCTGCTGCCTGATATTCTGAAACTAGATATGGACCACCAATCCATTCATGAATGGCAGACTTCTTGTGCTTCTCATAGGTAGTATGGCCCAGGCTCCAGAAATTAATTACTCTTGAGCCTAGATAAGGCTTGTGACCTGATATTCCTTCCCCCCACAATCCCCTTTTCAAGCTATAGAGTTTAGAGACAGTCAACAGTCATTCAAATCAGGTCTGCAACAAGCTTGGCAAGTCAGCCCTCTTGAAAATCTGGGCACCAATTCAAGCCGCTACATTACGGCTGTGGTAATTGACTGTAATCTTCCCCTCAGTAGCACATTTAGGTCACTCCCTGATAAACAAAGGTGTCTTGTGACAAATAAATAAAGGCAGAAGGACTTTAAAAGGGGGAATCTGTTTCTCCATTTACCTTTGCTTTGCGAAAGCGGTAGACCACGAGCATGCTTATGAAGACCAACAGCATACAGAGAGTTTGAAATGAGATGATAGCAAGCCGTAAATACTTGTCCTCCTGTGCATAGCAGGGAGTGTCATCTGTACAGTACGAACATCCTTCCCTGCAGGGCAAGCAGGCGTAGACCTCCTCAGTCATCTTACTTCCAGAAAACTGACTCTCTGCATCCTTTCCTGAAAGTATCAGAGACAGAGGGGGGAAAGACACTATGACATCCAAGCTTTGGAAGAACAAAAAAACTACAGTATTCTCTTTACTTTTCTGTTGACCATACTCCACACTCCCACTGACTGAGCCATATATAGCTATGAAGTATAGTTGTCATTTGGGAAATGCAATGTATTGCTTGAGGCCCTGCAGTGCCATCAGGTAGAATGTGGAGAAAAAGGTCCAGGGCATCGCTCAGCAAAATGAGTTGGAGGGCATAAAAACACAACAGATTTTAAGTCAGTGAAGGAATACATGTCACCTATAAAGGAGGATGAAGATTTCAGAGCTTTCTCTGTAATGTATTTTGCACAAAAAAAGTTAGTGTTTTGCCTAATATTTTGCAAAAACAGAACCTTTTTTTTGCCCATACAAAGTTTTGGGCAAAAACCACTTCTACGAATTTTTCACAAAGAAGTTCTAAACCACGAAAAGGGCACAAAAATCCTTGTAACTTCACCCAGCAGGGAGAAAGCATTTGAAAGGATTCATTCTATTTTGTAAGAACAAAACAGCAATGCTCCCTACCCTCGATGTTTTCTTTCAAATTGACATGGGCTGTTTGATTGACAGTTATCTTGACACACTATTTTTAAAAACTTGCTAGCTAGCCACAGTTTATTCACAGTGCTAGATGTGATTTTATTTTATTTTCAGGCACTTATCAAGGATTTTCCTTCAGAACTATTCATCTGTGCATGTGTTATCAGTTGATTTCTCTGTATGTGAGCATTATTTTGATGAATGGCACTTAAATATGTGAACTGACTCTATCAAACAGCAGTAGGTTTGAGAAAATATTTTGTATGTAATGTTGGATTCCTGATGGTCCCACCTAGCGCTACAGTTAGAAATGCCTGAGTAATTTGTTTTATCCACAGTTCTGTAGCTTTGATGAATGGCACTTAAATATGTGAACAGACTATATCAAACAGCAGTAGGTTTGAGAAAATATTTTGTATGTAATGTTGGATTCCTGATGGTCCCACCTAGCGCTACAGTTAGAAATGCCTGAGTAATTTGTTTTATCCACAGTTTAGACTCAAACACTGCAATTCATACTCTGAAGATTAATAAACAGTGATCATACAGTTGTAGAACTTTCCTAATGTTGGATTCCTGATGGTCCCACCTAGCGCTACAGTTAGAAATGCCTGAGTAATTTGTTTTATCCACAGTTTAGAGTGAAACACTGCAATTCATACTTTGAAGATTAATAAACAGATTGAAGCACAGTGATCATACAGTTGTAGAACTTTCCTGAATTTTGCAATACAGTTCTCTTTCAAAATGCAAAGCACTTTTGTTTTTCAGAAGAAAATGCATAAGGAAATGTAAATGTTACGAACATATGTGTACAAAGACATGTATTTTGTGGAAAAGCATGTTAATATTTAAAGAAGAATTTCCATGCAGGTCTTTCAAAATGCAGATAAGGTGGGGAAACAGATGTAACAGCTTTATAACTGAATACACGTGAAACTGATTCAGGCTAGAAATAGATTCCTTCTTGTCCATCGGTAATGGCAGTCAAGAACAGAGTGTACATGGATGAAAAGCCATCATTCTGAGAATGGGAAGAGCATATAATCAGCCACATTAAAAAAAGTTTTTTAACATAGTTAGGATTAGGGCTGAACAAACATGGCTTGGGCTTTGTCTCCCTAACCTAGCCCTTATCTCGAAGCTGGTCCATTCCTAGACCTGCTTTGATCCTTCTCCCAACATCATCCCGCAAGCCCTACGCACAGCCTGTCTCGTTGACCCACAGATTCACAGGAAATGGGCAACTGGAAACCACAAGCTTGTCAGAAGTGCACTGCAAATTTTCCCCACACTCTGGAGCTACCTCTGCTGGTATTGTCTCTATAGACAGTCTGTACCTGAGCCCTTCCCCATGGATGAACAACAGATACATGCTTATGGAATACACGTGAAACTGATTCAGGATAGAAATAGATTCCTTTTCCCACACTCTGGAGCTATCTCTGCTGGTATTGCCTCTGTAGACAGTGTGTACCTGAGCCCTGCCCCATGGATGAACAACAGATACATGCTTATTATTACAGACATCCATTTTAGACTACAGCTTCCAGAGTTCCTCAGCCAGCGCAGTGATGGCCATGCCAACTGAGGAATTCTGGAAACTATAATCCACCAACACAACTTTTTTGCTAGTCTCTAAGGGACATGGTGGCGCTGCGGGTTAAACTGTAGAAGCCTCTATGCTACAAGGTCAGAAGACCTGAAGTCATAAGATTGAATCCATGCGACGGAGTGAGCCCCTGTCGCTTGTCCCAGCTCCCACCAACCTAGCAGTTCAAAAGCATGCAAAATGCAAAAATGCGAGTAGATAAATAGGTACCACCACGGTGGGAAGGTAACACGTCTAGTAGTGCTGGCCACATGACCACAGAAGATTGTCTTCGGACAAAAGCTATCTCTATGGGTTGGAAACGGAGATGAGCACCACCCCCTAGAATCAGACACGATTGGACAAATTGTCAAGGGGAACCTTTACCTAAGGAAGATGTTGCAGGCTTGCCAGCCCACCTTGTGTGGGCCACCCTACAGTATCCAATCGTAAATAGAACAGCCTGTCTACTGACCTTAGAAACTTGGTTTCCCGATGCTTGCCCTGATTGGTTGTCTATCATTCCTGATGCTTCAGCCTTGTAGGGCATGCCTGATCCTGCTACTTTTATGTTAAGAGCTATCTAGGCTGCACCCCATCACGCCTTCTGAACCATCAAAGTATTGACATTCTCTGTAGGTCTTTGCCGTGAGCAAAGCCATTTTTCACTTTCCTCGCTGGATTCTGTTCTCTGACTGAGCTTTCTGTGGTGCTTCAGAAAAGTAAAGCTTGTGTGGGCCAGCCTACAGTAGCCAATCGTAAATAGAACAGCCTGTCTACTGACCTTACAAACCTGGTTTCCCGATGCTTGCCCTGATTGGTTGTCTATCATTCCTGATGCTTCAGCCTTGTAGGGCATGCCTGATCCTGCTACTTTTATGTTAAGAGCTATCTAGGCTGCACCCCATCACGCCTTCTGAACCATCAAAGTATTGACATTCTCTGTAGGTCTTTGCCATGAGCAAAGCCATTTTTCACTTTCCTCGCTGGATTCTGTTCTCTGACTGAGCTTTCTGTGGTGCTTCAGAAAAGTAAACAGGGCTCTTTTCTGGCATTTTGCACGAAGAAGAAAACGACACACACAATCCCATCTGCCTTGCTCTCTCAGCAATTTACTCTGCTTCTCAGTTCTGCCTGAACCTACAACTGTGCAGCCTCACAGAAAGCAGAAGGATGGCAAAGTCTTAAGTGGTAGAAGCATCTGGCCGGCAAAATCTTGATTATTAATGATGGTGAGCAAGCAAGAACACAGCTTGACTTTCAGATTCCTTGCTGGGTTTGCAGAGCTGCCAGTTAGATAAACAATCTTTTTTTAAAAAAAGAAGTGAAAACCTAAAGTGCTGAAGAAATTTCACAGTGCATCAGAGGCAGAAAAAGAAAATAATAAATGTCCACTATTCCAGTCTGCAGAAATTGCTTTCTAAAGTAGAGCCGTAAAATGCAAGGTTTTTGACAATACCAGTTCTGGCATCATTTAGCCCCTGAATCTCCTGGAGAAGATATAATTCTAATTAAAGAAAGTTATCCTAGTTAGCAAATAGTCACAATAAAACATGACGCATTAAATCTGCAGTCCTAGACATGTTGCATATATACTTAGACCCACCTGAAAATAATGGAGCTGACTTCAAAGTTGGCATGTAAATCTTCATTTTCTCATGCATAAGAACAAACAAACAAATAAAAACTCCACATTTTCCTCCTTACCCACAGGATGGTGTGACTTTTTATTTCATTATTGAAAACATTCTCACCATAGTAAGAATGATTCTGGTACAAATCATGCAATTGTGCAAAATAGCAAAAGCATGGACTTCTGTTGTATGGGATTTTGAAAATCAGAAGCAACGAATAGGTTGTTTGAGTCTTTTTGATACATTAGCCAGTCCTTCTGTGCTACATGGTTTTGCCATGTATATGTATTTTACTTCACAAATGCCCTGAGACATTTTGCACAAATGTCAGAAACCTCAATTTAAAAAGAAAAACCTTCTCCCAGGCTCATTCTTGCACTGGAAATGAGAAATCTCCCGGGGGGAGGGCAGCAATTTTTTGACAGTCTGTCTCAAAATGTTAAGGCAGCCTGTGCCACTAAGAATTAATTATTTTGTGAGCATTTTGCCACATCCTTGTTTCTGAGTAATTGTGCACATCATTCATCTAACTCTCCCTCCTTCTGGAGGGGTCCACGGTCCCTCCCCCCTTTCTCTCCCTCTTTTCACAGCTGAGTTTTCCAGGTCTGTGGACATTTTACTCTTGTATACTACTATCCGGACCCATTTTTCTGCTTGTCAGACTTTAGCCAAAGAGCTATACAAACAATAGACCTCTGGGTCATGCTATTTTTTTACAGGAATAATCCCAACTCCTTTTCTCATTTTGCATTCATTTCAATGATAAACGTCTTTGGATTTTATTTTTTCTTTTATGTTGGCAGTGGAGGTGACAGCTACAGTTTTCTGTTCTGAACCAGTGGCTTTTCTTTCATCCCTTGACAGTCTCCTGTCCTGTTTTGACATAAGCTGTCTCATCCTTTGGTTTTGATAAAATACATATATTCTGTTTGGCAGACTAAGAGTCTGATCAAACAGCTTCACTTCCTGGAAGGAGGATTTCAATGTCTGTCACAATATGTTGCATTGCTGTACAAAAACATTTTTTAAAAAAAATCTTTCAATTTATCCTTATATGCAAGTGTGGTGATTCCACCGTAAACCTCCTTGTACATATGTATCTATCATTAACTATGAGTTAATGAGTTAACTAGAGTGGCCTTTTAGGCCAGATGGGCGGGGTATACTGTAAACCTCCTTGTACATATGCATCTATCATTAACTATACCAGGTTTGTATATGAACAGTTTCAAATGCCTAAATTGTGTGTACATGGGGAAAGAGAGGAGAGATTGGGATAAAGTCATCAGTGCAGCACAACAAGTGCCATGCATGGCCTGTCTTCACCCCCAGAGAGGCTCCCCCACTTACCACCCAGTGCACACTGCTCTTCCTCTACTCCTTGTGCAATCTTCCAGTCCAAGCAGGAGCATGGACTTCCCTCCTCTGACTCCTCTGGCAGCCGCCCACTCAAACAAGGAGGCAGGGCAGGGATTGCTGCAGCGCAGCTCTTGAGTGGACAACTGCCAGAGGAGGCAGAGGATGGAAGTCCATGCTCCTGCCAGGACTGGAAGATTGCACAAAGAGGACGGAAAGAGCAGTGTGCATTGGGTGGTTAAGTGGGAGAGCTGGCCAGGGAGTGGGGGCAGTGTATGTGTGGCACCTGTGGTGCTGTGTCAACTACTTTAGACAACCTGGCATGAAGTGATTTGTGCCTATTACTAATAGAGAGGTAGTGTGATTAGCAGTTGAATAATTGAATCTGATTGGTGGTTGGGATGTGGTGGGAGGAGTCTGCTCTGTGTGAAAATTTTGACCCACCTCAGGGGTGTGTAAGCCACTAGTGTAAAACTCAGTGGATAAGGTAATCGCCTCCTCACCAAAGTGGGAAAGTGGCAACAGCACATGCCGTGTCATCACTGTTATCAGTCTTTTCTCTCTTCTTTGGCATGCAGGCCATTTATTTTTAATGTGTGGTTTTGAAAAACTTTGTAAATTGTCAGAAAGAAATGAACAGGACACTGTTTTATAAGCTGTGCTCTGACAATGTGTGCATAGGATTGAACTGAGCTCACTGTAGGATAGGTGAGATATAAATGCCACACGATCAATTAATTTGAGGGTCGTAAATGGAGACTATCCTGGAAAAATGTTCTTGTTTCTGTGTATTTATTCTGTGAGTCTCATTGAGATTTGCAGGATCCCATATGAGCAAGATTTGAGCAGAAGAAAGTTACACCCACTTTATGGATTGGTCAACCCAGCATTTCTCGAGATGATACAGGAGCTTGGAGAGACATGGATCCTGGTATTTAGGTTGCATAGCAGGGGGGAAAGCTTGCATTGGGACCAGCAAAAATTGTGTTTGGAGCCAGCTGAACATTTACATGGTGATCCTCTGGCTTGTTGGACACTGAAGCTTCTATTGCAGGGCTGTGGAAGCTGGAAAGGTTACTTTTCTACCCCTGGGATTAACTGTGAGCTGCATCAGCCCCTGAAACACAACCAGAAGGGGCCCAAGGCCCTCTGTCTTGGGTAGGGTTAGGCAAAACAGTCACAAGGGCTGCATCCTGATTTAAAGAAAATATTACCTATTCCTGGAAGCTCTCAAAAAACACTGTTCTCTTTTTTCAGCCCAGCCGGTTTTGTTTTTGCCAGTAGGGGTGCAGAGGTATCTGGCAGGAGGCATAAAAACTGACAGAGGGCTGTGAGTGGCACACAGGATGCATCTTGCCAACCCCTGTTCTATTGCATGGAAGAGTTGATGCAATTAAAATAGCCACCCTTGAGAAGCTGGATATTTCTGGATCTGAACGGGACCACCAGAGGCTTTCAGTCATCTCTCATTTATCCCTATTGTCTTCTCTGCTCATCTTTGAACACCTTACAGAGTGGAGCACCTTACATTTCAGGAAAGAAGTCTGCCTGCTGAGATTAGCCAAGGGCGTGCAGATCTGTTTTTAATCTGTGCTCCTACCTGTGTTCAATTTTGGTTTGCAGTGACTTGAGTCTTAGGTGAGTGGGTGGGTGGCAGGGAGCACATGAGTCTAATTAATTAATTAGGCAGCCCAGTTGGCTGCTGCCTTTTCTGGAACAGCACCTGTACCATCAGTTTGAATCAACTAACTTCAAGTCAAAAGAAGCTTTTTTTAAAAAAATTACTAACTATAACTGCAACTAAATTCTTAGAAAGAACCATGTAGCTAGAACTATAAGGAACAAATTACAGTACTTTTAAAAGTGACTGGTTGGCAAAACTACTTTCCCTCTCAGTAAAGCATTTACTAAGGTAATGTAATTATAGAGGAAGCCTATCTAAGAGAAAACCCTTGGGGGTGAAGAAGTGAGGTGTATTTAACAAGTATAACCTTTTTCATACATAATCTTAGAAACAGAAATTCTCCTGTGCTTAGAAGGTGACTGGATGATCAAATTAAAGTACTCTAGCATAAACAAACTCTATCTTCCAGGAAATGATGCAAAATTGGAATGATTTACACTCTTCGCAGCAGAGCTAACAAAATTCAGTTAACCCAAGAGCCTCTAATTTTTGATTTCTGAAGGTTTGTATCCTGAGAAAACCATCAGCTACTTTATCATTATTGAGCTATATAAAAGCGAAATGTCAAAGAAAAATTAGCAAAACTAACACAGACATAAACAGGGAATAGCACAGGCTTCTGTTCTAAATATCAGTGCCAAAACTCATTACTGCCCAGCTGCAAAGCAAGACATTCTTTTTTAAGGTAATAACAATAAATTAATATTTATTTACAAAGCCAAACATACTTAAAAAGTAGGTATGTTTTACCAGGCTCCCTGGAGTATCGCCGATGATAAACCATGAGCCTGAAATTCCTTAAGTGATTATGTAATCCCAGAGTTGCAGGCCATAGGGAATATAATGTATAACCCTGACAAGGATAAAAAGGAATCCTACATTATTAATGCATTATGTTTTTCAAACTCAAGCAAAGGCACTTACTGTGAAAGCTGTTCATTGCAAATATTTTGGGATTATAGAATCCGGCCTTACAAATGCATGTATAGGCTCCGAGGACAAATCCAAGGCCTTTAATTGGGAGACACTGCAAAAGAAGGAAAGACAAGGAAACAGGATAAATGAGATGCCCACTTTTTAATTAAATAATAAAATTCATGTGCCAATAAGTCAATTCTAACTTATGGTGATCATTTTCAGGGGTTTCCAGGTAGAGAATACTCAGAAGTGGTTTCCCATTCCCATTCCCTTCTTTTTCTTTTTCTTCTTCTTTTTCTTCTTCTTCTTCTTTCTCTCTCTCTTTCTCTCTCTCTCTCTCTCTGTGTGTGTGTGCCCTCGGACTGGGCAGTTTGCCCAAGGCCACACAGGGTGGCTGTACTCGCAGGAGTCACTGTGAGAAATTGTGAACTCCTAACGTCTGCAGCCAAATACCTAAACCACTGAGCTATCCACATTATAAGGGCTAACAGTACATCTGGGGGTTTGCTCAACAGAAACTTCTTTTGCTTTGTTGCTAAGATTAGAAAAAAAGACTATGAGTCAACAAATTAAAAGCACAGGATTTACCACAGACAATGCAACCCCCTTAGTTTTGGATGTACGTATCTGGGCCATGCTGTGACACTTTGAGAACCACAGACAATGCAACCCCCTTAGCTTTGGATGTATCTGGGCCATGCTGTGACACTTTGAGAGGCAGAGCCTGCTCAGTGCCTGAATACTTACACTCGAACATGTGAAGAGTTCCACATTGGCTCTGCACTTAAAAAAAGCAATGCAAAAACTGTTCGAAGTGCAAGACACAAAAACATTTAGGGTTGAAAAAAACCCCCAAGATAAAATCATTGTTTTATTTGGATTATCTGTATTAGCAGATTGACCCACATTACTGCGGTACATATGACAGTAGACTTTACATTACCATAGTGGTTATAAATATTTAACAGGAACAATGTATTTTACACACCTACTTCTGTAGTCAATGGCAATTGCATTTTCTGTTACGGAGAGACAAGTGTGAAGAGCTTGGAAAGTTACGTTTTGAAAAGAATTCATTATATTACTGTCATTAATGTTATTTTAAAAAGAAGTCTAGTCATATACGACGTTACTCATGATATTACTCATTAGGTATGGCATTTGCAAGGTCTTGTTTGTATGTCTGCTGAGGCGATAGAGAGAAGAGGCAGACAGACAAGCAGACCTTTCCAGGGCAGGCCAATGAGAAAGATAGATTCAGCCTGAAACAGCTGCCCACCCAATTTACAGAAGGGCTGACTGAAGCCCCCTCAATGCCATATGCTTGAAACTTGCTCCTTCCAGATTTCCTTCCTTTCAAAGCCAGCCACTGCTCTCCTAATCACCATAATCCTCCCTTTTCTTTCTCTGATTTTGTTCTCTTTCTCTCTTCTTGCTCTGTACTGTCCAACAGAACACAAGACTGCAATACCTACAATGCCATCCACTCATCCTATTTGCTCCTGTTTTATGGGGTGGTTTAGTTGCCCATTGATTCAGAATAGTCAAACAGATCTAAATGGCATCAGTTGAGACTCAGATCAGTCCCTTTGTCTTCCCTTCTGCTTCCAGATTCTTTTCCCTCACTTCATAACTGCTTTTTTCCTAGACCAGGTCCTTCCAGGTCTGTGGGGAGGAGTGAGAGTGTTCTCCCCAGCACAGCTACCTCTTGCCCTCTGCTTCACGACTGACAAGATCAATATAACACATAGTTATGCATGCAAGGAAAAAAAGAGTCCTAAGATTTTGTATGTTCCCTGCACCTTTCTTATCATTTTTTCCTCTTATCGTTCTAGAAGGGATTCCTCCTTTGCCCATTGTCTATAAAAGGGCAGGCTTAAACATATCCCTTCCAATGATGCAGACAGGGTGAAGAATGGGGACAGCATTAGAGGGAAAGAGGAGGATAGTTGAAGGCGGAATGGAAGGGCTGTAATAGAGTGTGGAACATCAATTTGGATTACAGTTAAGGAAAAGTTAAAATAGGTACGGCAGCTTGAAGTGAGCCATTCCAGAACCATGGCTATTTGGCTGGGAAAGAATCACAGTTCCAACCCACAAGCCTCATGTGGATGACCTCTAAGAAAGTATTTTGAGTTAATATCCATAACTAAAGAAACAATGTGGAGTTAATAGCTTCCACACAGCATAAATGGTTGAATGTTGATTGAATGCTAATTGTGCAAGGTTTCAGAAGAATTCATGGATCTACAGGCCAACTCTGACTTGGAGACTGATCAGCAAAGGCCCAGGTAATAAGCAATAAATATTCTCTGTTTGACTTTGTCACCCAAGAAACTTGGTACCACAAAATATGCTGTTAATACTGGCCATTCATTAAACATATCACACACACAAGGCTGTGACCAACTTTGTAAGTCATCTAATGTGCATATTATGGCGAGAGTGGACCTTTTGCTGTCAGGAGGGTTATCAGATGGGGCCACTTAGTGAGATATAAAAAGGGGCTAGGCTATCAGATAGGGCCACTTAGTGAGATATAAAAAGGGGCTGCTGAAGACACAAATGATAGTTTTCAGATTTGAAAACTTGCCACATACCTGAAGTAAAAAAAAACCAGGATAAGATACGTCTTATGTCTGTGCAAATAACTGGCTAAAATCTTCATAAGTTATATTTTTGTTTCTTATATCTTAGAGTGCTGGGAATCTTTATACTTGTATTCTAAAAAACAGGATAAGATATGTCTTATGTCTGTGCAAATAACTGGCTAAAATCTTCATAAGTTATATTTTTGTTTCTTATATCTTAGAGTGCTGGGAATCTTTATACTTGTATTCTATAATGCCTCTTTTATTTCATAGCAAAGAACAGCACACTCTTCATTTTTTAAAGCCTGCTTCTTATAATAATTTCTGTTCCTTTTTACTTTGACTGAGCGCTAGAACCGACTCATAAGTAGGTCAGGTTTGAAAAAAATCCTTCTCATTGGCCAACGTATGGTAGGTGAAAGCACCGACTCATAAGTAGGTCAGTTTGAAAAAAAAAAATCCTTCTCATTGGCCAACGTATGGTAGGTGAAAGAGCAGTCAAAATCCTGTCGGGCACAAGGGGAATGTCTGATGCTGCTGCAGTTAATTGATAAAGGGCCAGTCAAAGATCATTTGTGTGTCTGTGTGTGTATGTGCATATGCATGCACACACGTGCACATGCATGCACGCACACGCACGCACACACACACACACACAGAGGGTGGCTGACACTTCATCAGTGTAACACATTATATTACATGATTACATTTCCTACTATGTATCTTTTATTTAACAACCTTTTTGCTTTCAAATCAGCATAGAATACATCACTGGAGAAGAGATCCATATCAAAAGCAAAGAAGAACCTTGGTATCAAGGCAATGATCCTTGATATGGTGAGAACAGGAATAATACAGGTGTATGGAGACAGGTGTGTGTCTCTATTTCCATTTCTGGAATTTGAAGGGAATATGGATCATTAACCACGATATTCTGCAGTTGTAATACATGTTTTGACAATTTGCTCACCACTTTGATGAACATCTGGCTTGTTTACAATTTCCCAAGTTCACAGGTAACAACATTTACATCTCTTGAAGACAACTGTTGGGTGACTGAGTTGGGTGGACTGAGATGTTAAGGTGGGATTTGCATGCATAGTCATAAGTATAGCTGTAAAGAAATCTCACAAATCTCATTTCATGAAGATGATGATGGAGGAGGTGGAGCCAGATGCTCCCCAGGAAACATGTTCAGTAATGCCTGAATTGAGCTAGAGACTCAGAGCAGCAAAGTAGAGCAGGCCTCAGTTGCTAAGTAACCACCTATCTGATTTCTGCTACTTGATCAAGCCCAGTCATTTTTGATCCATTTCTTCTTGTTCCTACCATCACCATTCCTTGCTTCACCTCCTTCTTTTTCTGTTTCCTGGAATCATTATCAACCATCTTTCCTGTTACTCCGTTTCCTAAGGGTACAAACACTCTTAAGTTGTAGGTGAGATTTTGAGCCTCCATGTGGCTAAAATAAATAACAAGCACACAGTCACCATAAACCTTATCGGCACAAATCCTATTAGTAGGATTGTTGACTACTCATTCAGCAGATGACTCCTTGGGTCTACTCTAGTTGGGACTAGAGAGGATTCAGGTATATGTATACAGACTTTATTCTGTCTGGATAGTTCAGACTACAGCCAGAGATTGTGAGTTTGATTCCCCACTGTGCCTCCTGTGAGATGAGCCAGCCTGTGTGACCTTGGGCAAGCTGCACCATCCCAGGATGCCCCCAGAAGAAAGGAATGGCAACCCACTTCTGAGTACTCTCTATCTGGAAAATCCTAGAAGGGGTCACTGTAATTCAGAATTGACTTGACAGCACACAGTTGTTATCAATATACAATCCTGAGTCTACACAAAGTGCAACTATGCAAAAGCAGTTTCCAGATTTATCAGAATGTGCCCCACTCTCACAGCAGAAGATCGCCCTCCCCTCTCCCAGGGCTGCCTCCTTATGAAAGGACACAGATGCAGACAAGCATACAGATAGATTTTGGGTAGTTCCACTTGGTTAACTTTAATAAAAGCCAGAGAAAGAGGGAGAAGAAAATGCATAATGAAGTGACAGGCACTCTAGCAGGCTTCTTTTTTCGTTGCTAAAATTAAATAAATCATCTTTTAGATTACATATTCCAATTACATACATGGGCTTGAAGAAAACAAAGTCTCCACTCACGGACCAATATGATTAGCAGACAAATTCTTCTGAGTAAGAAGCCCAACAATGCCATTTACATATCCCATATTTCAAAAAATTGTCATGACCTATTAATTTCAGAAAGAAGATTCTCCTGCTGATATTTTTAATTTAAAGTACTGTCTAAAAGATGGGAAGCATCTTTCCCAATAGCATGAACAGCTTCTATGACCATCAGGTATCAAAGAAACATTCCGGTTTCACAAATGGCAGATTCACTATCCCTGGATAACATAATATCTTTCACTGGTGCACTGAAGCAACCTATCTTTAATAGTAATAATAACCATTTACTGTCAAGTTTATTCTGACATATGGAGA